ATTATCGAGTCAACATTGCTACAGTACTAGCGACAGTTAACATGGGTTGATGACATCCTGCAAAGCTTACGAAAGGGCAGCGGTTGCAGACCATTGACCGTGCAACCCAACAGTCGGAATCGCAAGAGTCAAGAGTCAGCGTGACAGTAGGGACAAATAACCGTCCCGATATTACAGTACGGGTGGTTACCTGAGTCGCCTTATCGAGTCGTAGTAAGGAATGTACCCCTCGAAGTGCAAAACAGTTAGACTCTTCTTATTCTCTTGTATTACCATATAAACCTTGTATCCCTTTGCTATAATCAATCACTTGTTCTCACATAGCACTACAAGGGTTCAAATCAAGACTTCCGCTGTGCTATCAAGCACTCTGTTACGAGGACTTGACATTTTGAAAAGATCCTAGGGCTATTTTCAGGCCAACAAGAAAATCCTCGGGGAAGGGCCACTGGCAGGGCTAATATTTGGTTTTTCAACACTCTGATTTTCACGAGTGACTCCTGGCCTAACTCTGATTTTCAGAGTGCCCTGGAGGTCGAACTCTGATTTGTCTGGGTTTTTCACACTTTTTAGATAACTACTCTGATTTCTATGATATATGCCCCTAGGTTAGTTCGCACCATTCTGCCTTATGCTGGATGGGTTCCAGATCGCATTAGGGCGTGTTTCTGACCGCTAGTCAAGGTTCTAGTAGATTCCAACTTCCGGAGCGTTTGAGAGCTTTGCGTGCCTGATTAGATTGGTTAAGAGCCCTGCACGCTCCACCTTACTATAATAGAACCTTGACAAGCAGCCAGAAACGCTCTTTTTTTCTAGGTGTGTTCTCTAAACGCTATCCCTTCAATTCTGTGCGCAAAACTTTTGCTGAATGAATGCTGAAATGTGCAAATATATAGAGATTAACGGCCGAAATCTGCCCCATACAGTCGAAAAGCATGCTTAGGACGTGGTCCAAGTACCACATTTTGGCGTACGCTGGCATTTTTTTGGCCTGGACTTCCTTGCGTTTTCGAAGTACACAGTCAGAACCGCTATTTGTGTTGGCAGGTCTTTCGCATAAGAAACGGCAACAGCCAATCCTGGCTGAGCTGTCAAAATTGGCTCGGATTTGTGTGGGATCGAAGTGTGCAGAAATAGCACGCCCGTGATTGGCTAGCGCATGTGCTGTACCAATCACCTTTGATGTGTGGTGACAGCTACGATCTTTACACGTATGAAAACTAGCTTGGCTGACAGGAAGGGCAATTCTAACAGCACTGATCACAGCTGGGTTAGGTTGGGTTGGGTGCGGGAAGGAGGAATGTGAATGGGTGGGTGGGATTATAAGAGGGTTGTGACTGGTTGCGGAGGACTTCGCCAAAAATTTCCAGGTTGCGGGGGGTATGAGGAGGGGTGTGACTGGTTGCGGAGGACTTCGCCAAAATCATCCAGGTTACGTGGGGTATGGGATAATGGGAGGGGTGTGACTGACAGCCGGAGGAGGACTCAGCCGAATACAGGGAGTACAGGGGAAATCCGGGAGTATCCCCCTATTGAAAATCCCTCTAGGTGGTAGGTACATAGGCCAACTCTGATAAATCAGAGGAAACATATACTTTCAAAAAATTACCCAGGACCATCAGAGTGGTTTTCAAAAATGAGTGATTTACTCTGATAAAATAAGGCCTGACGACAGGTGCAGAGCCTGGGGGGTTGTGGGTGTCAACATATAATTTGTACATGTTATAGAGTACAACCCCTTAGGTTATATTCCCTTGTACCACCTCATTCTAGTCACTTGTTCTACGCTAAGATGGTATCACGCTAGGTTAGGATCCCGCCCACCCACGCTTCCGCCCCTAGTCCTAGCCCTAGCCATAGCTGCCCGTAGCTAGCCGCCTGTCTCTCGCCGCCTGCCGTTAGCTGCCCGTAGCCGCCCGTCGCCTAGCGCCCGCTGGCCTCGCGATCGCCAGCCCCGCACCTGCTGGCCCCGAGCTCGCCAGCCCCGCGCCCGCTGGCCTCGCACTCGCTAGCCTCGCGCCCGCCAGCCCAGTGCACGTCCACCCCGTGCTTGCCAGCCCCGCGCCCGCTGGCCCCGCACCTGCTCGCCCGCGCTCACTTGCCCCGCTTTCGCCAGCCCCGCGCCCTCCAGTCTCGTGCCCGCCACCCCCGTGCCCGCTGGCCCCGCATTCACCAGCCCTGCACCCGCTCGTCGCGTGCCCGCCAACCCCGTGCCCGCCAGCCCTGCGCCCGCTGGCCCCCCGCATTCGCCAGCTCCGCGCTCGCCAGCCTGTGCCCGTCGGCCACGCGCTCGCCAGCCCCGCGCTCGCCAGCCCCGCGCTTGCTGGCCCCGCGCCTGCCGGCCCTGCACCCACTAGTCCCGCGCCTGCTGGCCCTGCTGGTCCCGCTTCGCCAGCCCCGGGCCTGCTGGCCCCCACGTTCGCCAGCCGCCCTCTGCCAGCCCCTGCTCTTGCCCGCTCCGCACCCGCTGTACCGCCGTGCCGCCATGGCGCCGTGCTGCAGTGGAGCCGGGCTGCCGTGCCACTGTGTCGCCGTGCCGCCGTGGCACCGTGCCGTCGTGCCGCCGTGCCGTGGCGTCGTGCTTCCGTGGAGCCATGCTGCCGTGGCGCCATGCTGCCGTGGAGCCGTGCCGCCGTGTAGCTGAGTTCGTGCGATGGCGGATGCTGTGCTCCGCCTGGACGCGGAGGGGCGGGCGATCGACTTCGATGCGTGGCTTGTCGACCTTCGCCGTCACTTGACAGGTTAGCGCCAGGACGGTTACTCCCTGGCTGTTCATGTCGATGACTTGCTTCCCCGCCCCCCAATGCCTGCTGCCCTCCATGATGCCCCCACCACTGCTGAGCGTGAGACCCTTTGCGCTGCTGCGCTTGCTCACGCTGTCTGGGAGTCGCGCGACGCCGTAGTGTAGCTTGCCATTAGTCACGCCCTCCCCCTGTCTGAGCGTCCCCGCTTTACGGCTGTAGCGAACGCCAAGGAATTCTTAGAGGCCGTAGTTGCGCGCTACTGAACGCCCGCCTCCGCCTCCGTTGGCCGCCTGATCCTCCCCATGCTGTTCCCTGATCTTGCGGCCTTCCCCAATGTCGCTAATCTAGCCACTCACCTCTGCGCACTTGAGGCTAGCTACCGCGTTGCAAGCACTGAGGCCCAGCTCACTGCGCCTCCCCCGCCGTCGCCTCCCCTGCCTGTCTACGGCCCTGTCTTTCCTCCGCTTGACTCGTCTCCGGCTCGTTTCCCCCTTCGTTCTCCTCCTGTGTCTCCTCCTGTGTCTCCTTACCCGATGTCTCCGTCCCACTTCAAGTCTCGTCGTCCCTCTTTTGTTCGTCCTATCTCCCCTGCTCAGCGCTCTCACCCAATGTTGCTTCGTTCCCACGCGTCTCGTCCTCCCCTCCTCCCCTCGCCTCCTCCGTCGTCGCTTGTTGTCGCTCCGCCTCCTCTGTCTGACTATATTCGTGCCACCAGTCCCCTTGTTCCTCGGGTCCTTGCCTCCCTCGTTACCGACCCGTCTGTTCCTGTCTCGAGACTTGACGCGCTTTTTGTTGCCGTTGCTGACTTTGCCTCTACCCGTGTCTCTTACTAGTCGCTGCCCCTTGTCTAGCCTAGGAGGTATGTGAACATATAATTTGTATATGTTATAGGCTAGCTAGGTGCATGCCCATACAGAGTACAACTGTTAGAATACTAGAATCTAGGTAGGAGGGAAGCCATAGAATGGCGTGAGGTTTTAGGCTAGGAAAAATGTCGAGAGAGAAGAGAATGAGATTAGAAGAGAGAGGGGACAAAGAGGGAGTTGTACCCTCTACAGTAGGTTCCAGTAACACATACCCAGCCTACAATTATATATAAGATATGATTTAACACATCCCCTAGGCTTGGTAGCCGGAAGCACACCACACACACATCACACTAAGCCACACACCCCCTAGCACCCCCATACTCAGCAGCAGCGACGGCTACTCCCGCAGGGTCAACCCACAGTGCGTGAGCCGGGGTGACGCGACAGCGAGGGCAGCGGCTGCAACGGCGGCGACGACGGCAGCATCGACAGCGGGGGCGGCGGCGTGGCCAGCGGCACCAGCGGCGGCGGCGGCGGCTTCGACGACAGCTGCCGGCGGCGGCGGGGCTCGCAACACTCGGCAGCGTGGCCAGGCTCTGCGACGGTGGGACGACCGGCGCGAGTCAGCCGTCGGCTGCGGCAAGGAAGAGGGGACGCAGGGGAAGGGGGGGGGGGGCTTCAGCAGCGGAGCCCGGGAGCGTGCCGCCCCGTGTGACGCGCTGGCTGCATGCGGGCGTGCTGGCCAGCGCTAAGACGGGGCGCTGGCCGCTGCCGACCGTGCCGTACACGCGCTGGCAGCACGACGGCGCCGTCACGTCTCCACGGCTCGACGTCGACGGCACCGTCACGCCACCATGGCTCGACGTCGACGGCGCCGCCACGGCTTGACGTCGACGCCACGACGGCGCGACGCCATGACAGGGAGTCGAGACGGCCGCGGCAGCATGACGCAGCCGGCGGTACGACGACGCCGCCACTGTAGCACGACGCGGCTGCCATGGCAGCGCGAGAGAGAAAGGGCGAGTACGCGGCGGAAGCGTGGGGATCAGGCCCGAGACGGGCAACCTGCTCTGATACCATGTTAGAATACTAGAATCTATGCAGGAGGGAAGCCATAGAATGGTGTGAGGTTTTAGGCTAGGAAAAATATCGAGAGAGAAGAGAATGAGATTAGAAGAGAGAGGGATACAAGGAGGGGGTTGTACCCTCTATAGTAGGTTCCAGTAACACCTACCAAGCCTACAATTATATATAAGATATAATTGAACAACCCTTTAGGTTATATTCTCTTGTACCACCTCATTCTAGTCACTTGTTCTACGCTAAGAGTGGGCGCACTAGCCCGCTATGTAACACGCCCTTTTAACTCAGTGGTTAGTGACTGAGTTGTGACACGCTCTCCTAACAGTGAGGAGAGAGAGGACGAGGGAGAAAGTGTTTTCTCTATAGAAAATGTATGGTGGTACAGTGATAAATATATACCATCAGCAACAGAAATGGGCACAGCTAGTGCTCTAACTCCTCGAGCCTAAGCTAGTAACCATTGCTCCTATGCTAAGGGCACAGCACCCTGCCATCATGTTATTCTACTAGGGTACAATGCCACAAGGATATTTCAGCAGCACCCTGATGCCATCCATCAGCATTCCGCCGACCTGCACATTTGTCAGACAGCAGCACCACATGCCTCCTCAATTATTATGGCTGAAAGCCAACTTCCACCTGCCCGAACCCAGCTCTACTGTCTGGTGCGCCTTGCTCCCGTCTTTCCTCCAATATACGGTATTATCTGCTTGCTGTCATATTCCCAGCAGCCTTCACCGTCTCAGCAGCCTTCCAGCTCTCAGCAGCCTTCAGGCTCTCAGCAGCCTTCAGGCTCTCAGCAGCCTTCACGGTCTCCACGGGGGTCTGGTATCTGCTGCCTTGGTGGTCCTGGCAGGCCCTGTTCTCGACCCACTAGAGCACGGCACGTGCCCCTTGCTCTCCTGCTGCCGCCCTCTGCTGCTCGCTGTGGTCTCCTGTCGGACAATGGCAGCACGCGCTGCATCCACTGCCTCCTCCTCCCCACCACCACCCACCTTCCCGCCTGCTCGTGCGCTGCCTGGCTTGGGAATCCGCGAAGGCAGCACTCTCTCACTGTCTGCTGCTCGTCTCCTCTCAGCCCTTCGGACGATAGCTGACTCGCATGAGCTCGAATCCGCATCCCCACCACCCACCGCCGTCACGCTCACACGGGATGGCCTCACCGCATTGCTGCTGCAATCGCTGCTCCCGCTGCTGCACGCTTCGCTGGGACTGCTACCATTACAGCTAGAGTCACTTGAGTTGCTGCTGCTGCTGCTGAACAACGTCAGGATCGTGCTGCTGACGTCGCTGCTGACGTCGATGCTGATGTCGATGCTGACGTCGATGCTGAAGTCGCTGCTGACGTCGCTGCTGGAACTGCCTTGCTCGCACGCTTCGTCCTCGGGAGAGCCATTCCACGCATCCGCGTCGTCTGCAGGCGGCGCGGCGCCGCGTTGAGTCGCGGAGCTCACCAGCGCGTCAACCCGCGACTGCTGCAGCACGCCGCGGGTCTCCCAGAAGCTCCGCAATGCCGCGAACGATAAGTACTCCGTCGACGACGAGTCTCGGGAAAGCACAGCCGCCCCGACTTCCATGGCCAGCCGGTGAGGTTTGAGCGACAGCCGCAAGTGACGTGTCACAGGAAGCGGATGAAAGTTTGGGTTGCTAAGCTTGAGTGCTCACGAGACGGAGTGCTACTAGGTGGGTGCTTTCTCAGGAAAGTCAGGGAGCTGAAGAGAGTACTCGGAGTATGTGAGAACCCGAACTAGCTGGGGATCGAGGAACGCGATGAGAACTCTGAATGCGAAGAGCCGCGGGAGTGCGGATTTGTAGATGAGTCCAAGGCAGGAGAGAGGGGTGGTGTGAGGGTTGTGGACGGGAGAATGAAGGGACACCGGGCAGGACGAGCTGTGGGCCCAGCTGCTGCCGGATCTCCGACAATTTCTGATGTCTGTGCTGCCAATGATGCTGCCGGGCGTGAAGTTTTGCCATCTAGGAAATTCCGAAACCGATCTACGAGCGGAACGGATTTTGCGGTGGCAGTTTGTGGCCAGGAGCTGCAGAACGAGAGCCTTCTTCCGCGGCCCGTAGTGACGCCATCGTCCCCTTGAGGTAATGGGGCTGCCCGCGAAAATACATGAGCTGAGCCCATCGCTGTGTGCGGGTGGCTCTTTGCGATTCGCGATTAGAAAGACGCGCTAGCGGCGGAGGAGATCTCAAGGTCCCATCCGTGAGTCAGCCAGCATCGCGCGAAAACTTCGGCATGGTGGTCCTAGAGAAGCACGAGAGCCATCGTTGCACACTGAAGCCCACCAGTTGCAGAACTACGGAGGGTCACATCAAGCAAGACTTAATCTCGTTATGCATGTCATCAATAACGCATTACATCTTGTCGTATAATACCCATAATAGATAGAAAGAGATTTAGAAAAACGATACATCACATCACATTACAACATTTAAAACAACACCAAGAATTTTACATTAGAGCACCCATACCTTCAACACCTGGGGCAGAGTTTGGTCCCAGGACACCTTATCAGACTATACTAGTGCGTTTGATAAGAGGTTTAGAAACACGCCCTTATACTCGGGGATTTTGGTAAATAGTACATTGTGTTAGAACTGTTGGGCTGAGAAAAGCCCTTAGGATCTTTTCAGAGACTAAGTCCCACTTGTACAAGATGCTTGAGTAGTGCAGCGGAAGTGTTGAGTAGTTGAACCCTTGCACTTGTATGTGAGAGCAAGTGATTGATTAAAAGAAACAAGCATACAGCAATATATAGAAAATAAGAGATGAAGCAGTTGTAGAATACAGTTGAAGGAACGGTTATCGAGTCACACAGCGACTCGATTGTCGGTTCGGTTACCACCCTTGCAGTCGTAACGGTCAATCGCAACCTCTGGTTGCGACCCTTCGAGTCCCTTCGTCCTTTCGTGTTCTTTCGTCCAACTTCCTCGTGTAACCTCCGTTGACTCGCATACTCGATACGACTTTCCTCAAGTGTAATGTTACACTTCAGAAACGCTCAAGTCTTCGAGGTATTTCCAACACTCCCCTTCGTTTCTGGAGTGCTGACGTGTCCGGATTCGGTGACGTTTATCTGCCCGGTCAGCAGCATGCAGTAATTGAACTTTGCCTTTGCCAGTTTCTTTGTCAGGTAATCTGCAGCCATTTCTCTCGTGGGGCAGTAGCTGAGTTGAAGTCTCCCCTTCGCGATCTCATCATTGACGAAGAAATACCGCAAAGCGATGTGCTTGGTTCGTTTGGCGAACCCGTTTTAGTTCGCGATTTTGATCGCGGATTGGTTGTCGCAGAATAACGAGAATGCGGGCATGGTCGCAATTTTCGCTTCCTCGAGTAGCTCCCGCATGTAAAGTCCTTCTTTGGTCGCAGAGCAGATGGCGATGTATTCCGCTTCAGCCGAGGATAGCGCGATTAGTTCCTGCTTGCTTCATTGCCAGGAAATAGTACCGATAGGCTCTAGTCGGTAGATGTAGCCCGTTCTGGAGCGACGATTCTCCCTATCTCCCGCATGATCGGCGTCGACATAGCCGAGTAGTTGTATGGACGATGGCGTTACTTTGCTGTAGGTAATTCCGGTCGTCGGCGTAGAGACGAAGTAGAAAAGTGCCCGATTTAGTTCCTCGAGATCCTCTTACTCCGGCTGCTTCAGGTGTGTCGCCAGTTGGATCGCGCTGTAGGACAGATCCGGTCGGCAGGTTACTGCTGCGAACAGTAGACAGCCGAGCTTCTGTTGATATTCCTGAATTTGCTTCGCGGGGAGCTTTGTGGAGGTTTCGCTGTTGTTCCCGTAGCGATAGGGAGTCGCGACTGCGACTGGCGTTAGGTCGAATTTCTTCGCGACAACGCCTGCATATTTTCCGGCGTGTAGGTGGAACGCCGAGTTGTCTTCGACGATGTTTAGACCTAGGTACTGGCTCACGGTGTCTGACACCGTGAGTGTTAAGTCACTCCTCAGCTCCCCTTCGAACCAGGTGGCGACGTCGGTAGTGGAGCCGACGTAGAGTAGGTCATCGACGTAGACGATGAGTAGGACGAAGTCCCCCCCCTTTTGTAGTCGGTACATGCCTTGATCGTGCGGCACCTGCAGAAAACCGATCCTTACGAGGCGGTCGTGAAGGTGCTGCTGCTAGAGCCGCGGGGCTTGTTTAATCGCGTAGAGGGATTTTACCAGCTGTCATACTTTTGAGGGATCGTCGATGAATCCGTGGGGCTGCTCGACGAAGATTCCGGCGTCCACAGATGCGTACAGGAAGGCGTTGGCGACATCGATTTGGCGCAGTGATAGCTTTTTCGTGGCCGCGACAGCAAGCAGAATGCGCAGGGAGGTATGTCGGGAGACTGGGGCGAATGTGTCTGTGTAGTCGGTTCCGTATCGCTGGTCGAATCCTCGTACGACCCAGTGAGCCTTGAAGCGGTCGATGGAGCCATCCGCATTAGTCTTGATGCGGTACACCCATTTCCCCGAGAGCACATTCTTCCCGTTGGTTTTTGTTGCAGGTACCAGCTTCCACGTATTTCGGTCTTGCAGGGCCTTCAATTCTTTTTCCATTGCTTCCTTCCATTTTGCCTTGTGTTCCCCCCCCAAAGCCTACGACAGAGTCGTTGGCTCTCGCGGCGACGGCGGCGGCGGGCTCTGGACGGCGACCCAGAGTCCAAGTATCTGCAGGCCCGTGGGTGTGTGTCGAGGGGAATTGGCATTCTCGGGATAAGCTACAGCGACGGAAAGTATTGCTCGGATAATTGCCTTAAAACATTTCTCGTACTGGTTTGGTGCCTTCTTTGTTTAGTTACGAATCAAATTTCGGGGTTGGATGTAAAGTAGTACTGTACTGTATGTGACAGATGCTGGTTTCAGTTTTATAGGGGTCGATTTTTTACCGAGGACGAGATTTAGTCCGCGTGGGTGCATCCGGACAGTTTAGGTCAAGCAGCGTAGTAGATCTATTTCCTAACCTCGCTATTTCTTCTTACTTGCCCTCGCGACTATCGAGTAGTTAGGAGATAGGCTAGGACCGCTGCGATGATTAGGCCGTCATGAAACCGTTAGATGAGGCGCTCTACGCATAGATCATTCCCTTGTTGCGGAGGGGGTAGAGCAATCGTTGAATCGCTAAACAGCTAGCCATAGGGAAGAGTTCGGCCCATCAAGGCGATTGTAGAGTCTAGCCGCGATGACGTGCGTCCTACGATGCCCTCAGCCGGTCGCCCTCGCTTAGTGACAGAGAGAGTTCGCCACGGCATAGTTCGGTCGATTACCCTCGAGGAGGCAGAAATCTCCGCTCACGTGGCGAAAATCGTTGAGAAGCAGCACGGCATCACGTTGCATCCTAAGACATTGCGTAACGCTTTGAATGGGAGCCGACTTGTCGCAATCAAGCATCCCAAGAAACCGCGACACTCTCGGAAAAACATACGCGATTGGCTGGAATGGGCGCGTGCCCACGCAGACTGGACGGTTGACGACTAGAAGCGAGTTATCTGTGCGGATGAGACCAAGATCGGTCGTCTTGCATCCGACTGACTCTCATACGCCTGCGTTCACGAAGGGACTGCCCTCCAAAGACACCAAATCAAGCAGACCGTCAAACACGGGGGCGGTTGCTTGATAATTTACGACTGCATGTCGTAAAAGGGAGCGGGTTTCATGAGCAAAACATATGGTAGGGTGGACGGACTCGCTGAGTATACTGCAGGACGATCTCAACAGTACGATTGAGCTTTACCAGCTTACACCCTCAAAAACTATCTTCCAGCACGACAACGACCCGAAGCACAAGTCGCGTATCGTACAGGAGTGGCTTTGAGAGTAAGATTCAGGGGTGCTAGAGTGGCCGTCTTCCTCACCCGACCTCAACCCAATGGAGCATTTATGGGCTCATCTCAAGAGGCAGCTGGCCAAGCCTTATAAGCCTCCCACTGGTAAGGCTGGACCTTTGGGAGCGGGTGCAGGAGAAATGGGAGAAGCTCCCGGCAGATGTGTGCACCCACCTGGTGGAAAGCATGCCCAGGAGGGTGAGGGCGGTGTCTAAGGCAAAAGGGCGGTGGATTAGGTACTAGTTTGGGGTTGATGTAACTTGCTGCTTGCGCCTGGCAATAATTGTCCACATGTTCCAAGATTGTTATTTTCTAGTATTTGTTGTAAACATCATTATACTTGTGTGATGTAAGGCATGGGCGTGGAGCCTTACCCCAACCTACATACACTAGGCACACCAGAAGATTAAGTCTTAATGTCCATGACCCCCTAAAACGGCAAAATTCCTCTAAGTCACAAACATGTGGACAATACTTTCCGTCGCTGTACTTCGTCACCATCTTCGGGGTCAGGTAAGAAATTGGGTCCGATGCGTTCAGAGATATTTGTGTCGATCGGTTGAGGTGTAGTGTAACCTTGGTCAGCGAAGTGGTAATAGGTGTCGAGGTTGTTACTATCGAGAGGATTGTCGTCGTCGAGTGGAACGGGCACGGAGCAGTAAGGGAGTGGTCCGGCACCTTCCGAGGCTTCAGGTACGTCTTCTTCTGCTGCGTCAGCTTCGGCAGCACGGTCGGCGAAGGACCGATGGCCCTTGAAGCCGTCGGTGGGGTCGTCTGTGTTGGCGATGTTGTCAGGTAATGTTGCAGCGTCATTCGCTCGTAGAAAATCGCATCACGTGAGGCCACTATGGTTTTGTCCTGAATGTCGAGAATGCTCGGAAGTTTCCATGCTCGGAAATGTTTTGCCGAGGTGTAGTCTCCACCGTGCTCGTTGAGAGAATCGACCTGCTCGGGCTGTGTGGGGTCTGTACCGTACCATGCAGCCAAAGAGTCGAAGTAATTTTGTGCTGCCCTGCTTTCCTGTCCACAGCACGTGTGGTGATGCGCTGTTGGGAAGTGATGACGAGGACAGCAAATTGTGCAGGTGGGCTGCATGCGTCATTGCGTCAGGCAAAGCGTGGTGGGCAGTCTCATCCCCAGGAGCATCTTCCGCATCGTCGTCTGCAAGGTTCTGTTCATTCTCTCTGCGACCCCCTGCTGCTGGTGAGCGTAGGGCAGGGACACCAGGCGTCTGATGCCTCTTTCTGCCAAGTAGTTCTTGAATCGTTGTGATTGGTATTCCAGTGCTCCGTCTGACTGGAAACTTTTGAGTCGCGAGCCCGATTCTCGTTCAGCGATGGGGAGCCACGTTGTGAAGGCTTCGAATGCTTGATCTCGTGTCTTGAGGTTAAAGTGCCAGACATATCGTGTTGCTGTGTTGATGAACGTGATGACATAGTTGTACTCTGCTTCACTGTCGTCTCGAGGCATATTTAAGATGTCGCTGTAGATTTTTTCCATCGGTGCGTATGCAGGTGCGCTTGGATTGTGGTGCGATGGGAAAGGTTGGTGGGGAAGATCAGCTTCTGGATATGTGAAGCATCGTGCACGGGGTCGTCGAAGCTCTTGGCCGCTCGTTGTGAGAAGAGCGTCCTTTTCTAATACTCCGGCTTGTATGGTTTGTAGTACTGTGCTGTTTGCAGGGTGTCCGAGGCGTTGATGCCAGATGTCGTCGGGAGCGCGATGGCCGAGTGAGTGCTGGTACATGTCGCCGTTGGAGAAGAATGCGACGACTGTGGCGGGACTGCGGCAGACTCCTCGGGCGATTGGCATGAGTTGATCTGCTTGGGATGGCGGTCCTCGGATTGCTGGTGATGGCGCACGGCTGGGTCTTGCTGCTACTACTGCAGGTGATGTCGAGTGAGGGATGCTTGCTGGTACTTGTCGTTCTTGTCGGATGACTGCTAATGCTCGTGTTCTCTCTGCTGCAGGGATAGTGTTGAAGTACCGGAATCCGTCTGGAGTGAAGTCGGGGTCAAGATTTGGCGGATGCGTCCAGGCAGCGAATGACACGATGCCGTCGCTGTCGGCAGTTTCGCGGTCGGGGACGAAGTCCAGCACGAAGACGCCCGACTTTAGGAGAGCACGACCGATGAAGAGGCCACCCTTCCCGTGGTAAAAACGAAACTCGTTGGCGTCTGAGTTGCATTCCAGGTGAATTCCCTTCGCCATTAACTGGGTGACGCTTAGCAGATTGTATCCCAAGTTGTCGACGATTAGAACCTTCTTGAGTTGTAGTATGACGTTTGTCTCCATGCACTGAAGTTGAACCACTCCTTGTCTATTTGTTTTCAGGTTCTCGTTGTTGGCGACGGTGATGATGACATCGCAGTTGAGGTGTCGCTCCCGTTGCACGAAGCACCCGGAAGAACACATGTGTTGGCCGCAGCAACTGTCCAAGAACCAGGTATTTCGTCTAGTGGGTTCGGCGTTGGCAACTGCAGCATACGTGGGGTTGACTTGAAGACCTTGTGAGCGCGGCGGTGGCAGTTCTTCTTCGTTTGGAGCGAAAGTGGGTGGTGACTCGGGTCTGCAGCTGTCTATCTGTACCATGCAGTTGATGATGTTTGGTGTGTCTCGTGCAGGTGTAGAGGAGCGGCTTGGCGGATTCTCTTGAGTTGAGGCGACTTGCGGATCTGCTGGACGATAAACTCGAGGGCGCGTGCAATCAACCTTGGATTGTCCGGATGTCTTACAATTGTGGCAGAATGGTGGCACGACGGTGAGACCTCTTGTGTCATATCGATTCTGCTTATCGCGTCTGTTGTAGTTGTTGTCGTTTCTTCTTTGAGTGTAGAAGACTAATGGCTGCTGCTTGTTCCGTGGTTGTCTTTCTTCAAACAGGAACATCTCCTGTTGTTCGGCATGAAGCTCGGCGCAGAGATGCATCTCGGAAATTCGTAAGTGGGCGTGAAGAAGCGAGCAGGTGGTTCTCCATTCTGGCCCGAGCCTAGCGAGAACAAGTGTCACGAAGCTTTCCTCAGTGATTGTTCCTCCGCACCGAAGCAGGCGGTCGCGGAGTGTCTGACAGCGACTCATATACTGCATCGCCTTTTTCCCAGTCTTCGTTTGTATTGTGGTCAACTGCTGCATGAGTCTTCTTTGTGTTACACTGTCATTTGCTTGATAGAGACACTTCAGATGATGCCAGGCGAGCTCCACGGAGTTTCCGTAGCTTCGATACGTTCTGATGCTCTGTTGCTCTTGTGGTGACAGATTTTGCAGGAGAACTGTGTACGCCAGCAGCGACTGATAAGTGAAGATTTCCTGCTCCTTTGCAGTGCCATTACTTGGAAATGGCAGGGACCCGTTGAAGTATCCCAAGAGGTGCACGGCCTCCATCAGCAGCTCGAACTCAAAACTCCAGGTAAAGAAGTCGTGCCCGTTGAACAGTGAGCATGTCTGCAGTTTGATCACATGTCAAAAATGTGCCTAGAGACTCAATATCTCGTTTGGTGTCTGTTGTGATGCAGCTGCTGTTCCATAAGGTTCGGGTCCATGCTTGAGGAGGGTGAAGGGGTCACCATTAAGCATGGACTAGAAAGTGAGAGGACAGATACAAGTGGACTAGAAAGTGAGAGGGGAGATACAAGTATAAAGGGTTGTACCCTCTAAGAGCTGACCTAGCTAGGACACACTAACACATGTATCATAACTAGCAAATATATGTTTGTTGATTGACACACCCCCTAGCCTAGGTAGAGGCAGCGCTTGACAAACCAGAACAAACTAGGGCAGCACTACTAGTCTGGCCTCTCGTAAAGGAATGTAACAAGACAACTCAGGGCAGCACTACTAGTCTGACCACTGAGACAAGAGGTCACAAGACCAGTCAGCAAGTGTAACATGACATGCAAATATAGTACAGCAAGTACAAGCATGTATAGTATAGATCAAGATGTCAGGGTATATATATATATGTTTATATATATATTTTGTGTAGGCTTGGTAGTTGTGCTACTTACTGAATCCTACTGTAGAGGGGACAACCCCCCTTCTTGTATCACCTTCTCTTCTATTCTCTCTCTCTCTACTCTCTCGACAGTTTCCCTAGCCTAAAACCTCACACCATTTCTATGGCTCCTCCTACCTAGCTACTTCAACATGGTATCAAAGCAGGTTCAACCTGCTGGAACTTCTTATTTGGCTTCCGCCGTGCACTCCTCTCTCTCTCTCTCTCTCTCTCTCTCTCTCTCTCTCTCTCTCTCTCTCTCTCTCTCTCTCTCTCTCTCTCTCTCTTCTCTCTCTCTCTCTCTCTCTCTCTCTCTCTCTCTCTCTCTCTCTCTCTCTCTCTCTCTCTCTCTCTCTCTCTCTCTCTCTCTCTCTCTCTCTCGCGTTGCCATGGCAGCCTCGTTGTGCTGCTGTGGCGGCGTCGTCGTGCCGCCGGCCGCGTCGTACTGCCGCGGTGGTCTCGACGCGCTGCCGTGGCAGCCTCCTCACACTGTCATGGCGCCGATGTCAAGTCATGGCGGCGTCGTCGTGCTGTCACGGCGGCGTCGACATGCCAGCGCACGAGCGGCAGGGGGCCGCACACCGTGTTAGCCGCGTCCAGCCCGCCCGCACGCCAGTAAGCGCCGCGCCAGCCATGGCGCCGCGCTGAAGATCCGCCCCCCACCCCTTCCCCCTTCCCCTCCTCTGCCTTTCCCTTCCTCCCCGCCGCAGCTTCTAGGGACCTCATGCCGTCCTTCTCTCCCGACGTCGCAGGTTGAGTAATGAGTCGATTTATGAGTCGACTCAGAAATTTTACACACGCTGCCGTGGCAGCCTCCTCACGTTGTCGTGGCGGCATCGTCGTGCTGTCACGGCAGCATCGACGCGCCAGCGCACAAGCAGCAGCGGGTCGCGCACCGTGTTAGCCGCGTCCAGCCCGCCCGCACGCTAGTAAGCGCCGCGCGAGCCATGGCACCGCGTTGAAGATCGGCCCCCCACCCCTTCCCCCTTGCCCTCCTCTGCCTTTCCCTTCCTCCCCGCCGCAGCTTCTGGCGACCTCGTGCCATCCTCCCCCTCGTCATCGCAGGTTGAGCCACGCCGCCGGGTGCCTCGGGTGCCGCAGCTGCCGTCGCCGGGTGCCTCGATGCCGCCGCCGCCACCGCAGGTGCTGCACGCCCTGCCGCCGCCGCCGCCGCAGTCGCCGACGCCGTCGCTGTCGCTGCGACCCACCGTCGACGTCGCCACCTCGATTGCCGAGGGGTTGACCAGCTGGTCGATGCCATTGCTGCTGCAGTGAATGGGGGTGCAAGGATGTGGGGGTGCTGCGGTTGGGATGGGCTTCCCACTACCAAGCCTAGGGGGTGTGTCAAAGTATATATTTAAATGTATTTTTGTGTAGGCTTGGTAGTTGTGCTACTTATTGAATCCTACTGTAGAGGGGACAACCCCCCTTCTTGTATCTCCTTCTCTTCTAGTCTCTCTCTCTTCTCTCTCAACATTTTCCCTAGCCTAAAACCTCACGGCATTTCTATGGCTCCTCCTCCTACCTAGCTACTTCAACACAAGATACAAGGAGCGGGGATGCTACTCAGACTGGACCAAGCTGAGTACACAACCGCTAACGGTCACGAGACGGTAGTGCCTTGGTGAAGATATCAGCGGTGTTGGCCTCTAAGGCCAACTATACCACACGAGCCTGATCGCGCTGTTGCAACTCACGCAACAGGAAGTACCGCAGCTGGATGTGCTCTGCCCTGCCCTCTACTTGAGCCTCATGACACAGGAGGATCATGGCCCTGTTGTTAGCAAAGGACCGGGGCAGACCTAGGCGGCTCACCTAAGTCAGTGAGCAAGAACGACAGCCAGCGGAGCTCCTGAGCGGCCATGGCCCCGGCGTAGATCTCTGCCTGACAGCTGGACCGAGTTACAGACGATGACCTAGTGGACCTCCAAAAGACTACACCAGCACCAAGGCTAAAATAGTAGCCCTAAGACGACCTCAGCATCTCCAATTCGTCAGCCCATGACGCGTCTGTGTGACCAGTGAGCACCATTGGCTCCGGTCCTCCTAGCACAAGCCCTAGTCCTGATGTACTCGCCAGATACCACAGTACCCTCTTGGCAGCCGACTAGTGCAGGCCATCAAGTATATGAGGCAACCCACCAGCTCTGCGTATGGACCACTAGCCTCGACCGACTCACCCGAAACAGGAGTCGAGAGCTTGTGATCCACAGGTAGAAGGGTAGGCTATACAGAGGAGAACTAGAGACTAAATCTCAGGAGGATCTGTTGCACCATATGGGACTGGGAGAGTGTGATCGTGCGAGCAACACGTTCAGGAGAGATCTCCAAGCGCAGATAGTGCCTCAGCTCCCCAAGGTCAGTGCAGGTGTGCCTCCTAAGTAACTCGGCCTTCACTCAGACCAGTGCGTCTCTGTCAAGATTAGCAAAGATAAGATTGTCTACGTATACTAAGATGTAGAACGGGGTCCAGCCCGTGCGAACAAAGAGAGAGGGGTCAACAGAGGACGGGAAGTAATACAGCTCAGCAGGTGTGGTGCGGAGCATGTCGGGCAACTGACGGGGTGCCTCACGCAGGCCGTAGACAGAGCGGTGCAGGCTGGGAAGGACCCACAGAAGCCTAGTGGGCGCCGGAGGTAGATCTCCTCGTGCAGACTACCCTGCAGAAAAGGCTATGGAGAAGTCGTGTGAGTGAAGCTCGTAGCCACGCTGTGCGGGTAGGAGAAGGAGCACCCGAAGAGTAGTCGTCTTCAGGGTTGGAGAAAAGGTCTGGAAGAAGTCCACACCCTCTCGTTGACTGAAGCCTCTAGCCACGTAACACGCCTTGAACTTCGGCGGCTCTCCAGGTGCGCACGTCACCCAGTAGATCCACATGTTATCGACTATGTTCGCCCCAGGCGGGGGAACTGCATCAACATAAGTACCTGTGGATCTGTAGGATTCCATCCCAGCATCCATGGCCTGTATCCACTGGGCTGCCCAGGGCCCCAACACCGCCTCGGTGTAAGAGCGCGAGATAGGGATGTCGAGGGTGCCTGGTGTCAGAATACTAGAATGATTAGAAGGAAGGGAGAACAAGGGAGATATGGGGTTTGGGTTGTACTCTCTAAGAAAGCACAACTATTCTAGCCTAAAACTTCTACAAGCAAATGTATGTATAAGTTGACACACCCCCTAGGCTAGATAAGGGGTAGTGCTGAGCAACAGGCACACAACTCAGGGTGGCACTACTAGTCCAACCTCTGAGACAGGGGTCCGAAGACCAGTCAACAAGAGTACAAACAAGACAGGAGCAAACCAGGGTGGCACTACTACTCCAGCCACTGGAAGAGAAGCCACAAGGCCAGTCTGAAAGATATACATAAAGATGAGTACACAATCAAGATCCTAGCAAGTGAGAGTCTACAGGAACTAGACCAAGCTGCAAACAGTGCTGCTGATGATATCTAGGCGCAAGCGCCTTAGCAAAGATATCAGCTGTGTTGGCACCGGAGGCCAAGTGTACTACGCGGGCCTGGCGACGTTGCTGTAGCTCGCGCAGGAGGAAGTACCGCAGCTGGATGTGCTTTGCTCTGCCCTCAAGTCGAGGATCCTGACACAAGAGGATCATGGCCCTGTTGTCAGCATACAGAACCGGGCAGAGCTAGCCTGCTCACCTAAGTCGGTGAGCAAGAAGGTCACCCAGCAGAGCTCCTGCACCGCCATGGCACCTGCGTAGATCTCAGCCTCACATTTAGACTGGGCAATAGACAAGGAGCGAGTGGACCTCCACGAGATGGCACCTGAACCAAGGCTAAAGCAGTAGCCCTGCGAGGACCAGAGGGTCTCAGCTTCGTCTGCCCAAGAAGCGTCTGTATGCCCAGTGAGGACCACTGGCTTGCATCCTCCCAGCACTAATCCCATGCCCGATGTACTTGCTAGATAACGCAAAACCCTCTAAGGAGCCGACCAGTGCTGTGGTCGGTGTTTGCCTATGGCCACAAAGCAAGCCAGGGTGCTGAGAGGGTATGCGAGATCTGGACAAGTGCAAGACCAGGTCGTCTACGTAGACAAGGATGTAGAACGGAGTATGGCCAGCACGAACGAAGAGCGAGGGGTCTGCAGAGGACAGAAAGAACTGCAAGTCAGCTAGAGTGGCACGCAACGTGTCGTTCCACTCACGGGGCGCCTGTCGCAGGCCGTAGACCGGGTGCTGGAGGAGCCACTAGGTCCCAAAAGGGAAGGTAGACCTGCTTGTGTTGACTGCCCTGGAGAAACGCTGTGGAGAAGTCGAGGGAGTGTAACTTGTAATCATGCTGTGCTGCTACATGTAGCAGCGCCCGAAGAGTAGTCAACTTCGGGGTCGGGGCGAAGGTTTGAAAGAAGTCCACCCCCTCGCGCTGACTCAAGCTTCTAGCTCCTAGCGGCCCTTGAACACAGGCGGCTCTCCAGGGGGGCGCTTCACCTTGAAGAGCCAGCGGCCATCGACTACGTTCACCCCAGGTGGGGGAGCTGCGTCGACATAGGTGCCGATGGATCTCCAAGATGCCATCTCCTGCTCCATGGAAGCTATCCACTGAGAGGCCCAGGGTCCCGAGGTCGCCTTAGCGTAGGTGCGATGGGTCAAGATGTCAAAGGCGTCTAGGTCACCCTAAAGGACTAACAACATGGAACAGAGATGAGGAGCAGACTCAGACAGGAAAAGATGCTCGTACTGTATGTCCTCTAGGATGTCACTACCAAGGGAAGTTGCACCCTCGACGGACGGAGGAGAGACAGGGTCAGAGATCAGAGCAGTGGCGTAGTCAAGGCTGCGGGTAGAGGTGAAGTCAGTGACGACACTGACAAGAGCGTTAAGACTCGAGACAGGGACAGACGGGTCGGTAACGAGGGAGGCAAGGACCCAAGCAACAAGAGGACGAGCGGCATGAAGGTAGTCAGACAGAGGGGGAGGCATGACAGCGAGCGACGACAGAGGAGGCGAAGGCAAGAGGGTAGGACGAGACGCGTGGGAACGAAGCAACATAGGGTGAGAATGCTGAACAGGAGAGGCAGGACGAGCACGAGAGGGACGTCGAGACCAGACGTGAGAGGGAGGCATCGGGTCAGTGGACAGAAGAGGAGACACAAGAGTATGGCGGAGGGAACACAGGGCCGTAGACAGGAAGAGGAGGAGGCAGCGAGGGAGGCGCGGGCGAGCGGTCAGGGGAGGGAAGGTCGAGAAGGCGAAGGGCGGACACTGGCGGCGACTGTTGCTGCCGCTGCTCAACGTCGACACCTGGACCACCAGCTGCACCACGGCTACCTCCGGAACACTCCACTCCAGCACCCCCAGAACGGGCGCCCCCAGAGCAAGAACTCTCTCCAGCACCGATGCCACCCCCAGTCCCGCTGGGACAGGCCACGACAGGAACCCCAGGACTAGTACCCTCCTCAACACCAGCACCCCCGGAGTCCACGAACACCTGCTGCTGCGGCGGCAGCGGCGGTTGCTGCAGCGGTGACTTCGA